ATAAATGTTACAACAAAGTCCAAAGAAGAGTGTGTTGTATATTTGAAATGATAATCCTCTTTATACAGAACGATCTGAACGATAATTCACATTAAGATTACTTTGAATTATTAAATCATAATGTTTATTTATAGTGTCTACAATTTGATTTATGAAAGTGCTTGTTATTATTAAAGTCATTTTTCGAGATATTTTAAGTAAAAAAAAATCTATTATTTTATTGAAAATTACTTCATAAAAAGGAGAGCTTATATTATAGTTGCTTAAATTTATTTTTATACTGATTGGTTTATACGTTACATAATAATAATAATTCAAATTTTCTAGCTACATTTTTTATTTGTAAGCAGATTTAATTAACTTGACAAAGTTGCCTTATGATTTAAATTATTTCTAGATAAATATAACTTACGTAATATTTTTAATGCAATTTTCAGAAAAGTAACTTTTTTCTTTTATATTTTTTTATAAGTATTTAGTTCTAAACTTCAATATATAGCTTTATTTATTTTTTTTTTCAATGATGTGCTCCATCAGGGCTGTGTTTAGTTGTGATAGTGACTAGTTTTCATCACTTTCGCAGGGATGTTGCCATTTTAAAGCCTATATGTTACTTAAACTTTTTCGATATAAGCGTCTAAATCATTATTCTAAAAGATACTTTGGACGAGGATCAATAAACCTCTCTCTCTCTCTCTCTTGTTTTTCCTTCGTGTATTGTATCAAAGCATATGGAAATAGGGTTTAGGGCCTCCATACTTTAATTATGCCTTTTCGTATATTTAGTTCTGGCTACTTTTACTTTATAATTAGGTAATTAGAGTCTGTTTACGAGTGTCAACCGTTGCTATGGCGATCTGCCCGAACGGATGAGCTTATTCTCTGGAGAACATAGGAGGGTAAGCGCACTAAATGATTTTGATAGTGTTAACTCGAATATTAAGCAACAAAGTGGCATTCTTCAATTCTTTCTAGAGAAAATTTTAATTATTTCATTTGTCTTTTATTTTATTATTATCCTTAAAATCGTAATGAGAATGAGTTTAAATTACGTTAGGGACCTATATATATAAAATTTTAACTTGGGAAAATTTAAACCAATTTTTAAAATTTTTTTAAATTGCTAATAATTTAATTAAAATGTATCAAAAATATATGTTTATAAAGTGTGTATTAAATTTAATATCTTACTTCCCTTACAGATGGCAGCATAGTGTCTATAATTATAAAATTATTCTCCCTTTTTGTATTGTTTTCTGATCTAAATATCCTTTTTATATTTTAATAATAATTATTATTATTATATTTTAGTTTAATGAAAATTTTAGAAAATAAGAAAATATAAAACATTATTTTTAAGTTAAAATTTTTGCAAAGCTGCGGAATTACATAGTCATGCTCGATGCGTTATGTCATCGATCAGTTATAGGGACTGGTTGGCGCCATGTGTGGTTTTTTGGAGGGCGATAGAATAACTTGTCACATCACTAACTGCAACAAATGGAAAAATTCGTGGCGCACGTCACTAGGTAGGCGTCACGCTGGTCACGAATTCACATGTCCGGGGATGATAATGTTTGAGTAAGAACAGATCTTGTAAACGTTCTACAAAATTACAAGTGCATTTTTATTATTATAAGCTTATTATATTATTCTTATATCTTAATCATTATTTACTCTTTCTATGTTTTTATTAAAGTAAATTTTTTTTAATATTAAATATAGCATCAAGATTTGTAATTAAATTCAGATATTATTGGAAGAATAAACGTGTTTTGACATAAATCTTTTAGCTTTTATGATCTATAAATAATCAAGTTTAAGCTATAAATTCAAAATAAATATTTATACGCAATTCGTTAGAGTGATTGGTTGATGGAGTAAACATCGACCAATCAGATTAGAGTAAACCACAAATAGTTTTAAAGCGATATCTTAGTTGTTAAATACCGGACTATACATATAAATAAGGATGTTTAGCTCTTGATTTTATCTTTTACTTCCTTCCTCGTTTATTATATTTCTTAACGAGTGATCTCGTTTTAATCTTTGAAATGCTTCCGCTTTCATAATATAATTTTCATACATAAATTTTCCATTAAAGTTCTTAAAATGCGGATTAAATTTACTGTTCGAAATATATTTTATTTATTCTCCAAATAAGATGAGATTTTAGTTAAAGTTATTATCTAATACTCTCGATAATTATTAAATATAAAAATTTAAGATAAGTTTAGATACTTTTAGAGAAGATAAGAATTAAAAAGATTCAAGTAAATAAGTAAAGATTTCAATTTTTCATACAGTTTACTTGGCGCATTATAACAAAAATTTACGATAGAATTTAGACAAGTTGAGGTGATAGCTTATAAATCATAAGCTTGGTCAAGCAGATGCAAAGCGTATTTCACTAATTTATATGACAAAGAAGTCGTCCAGGGAGAGGTGATGAATGACTGTAGAACGGCAATAGAAAGAATTATGGTGTGACTAGGCTTTTCATTGACTCGGCTGTCAGCAATTGAAACATAGTTTTTTCTAGTCACGTTGAATGTAGTACGTTCAGTAATTTTATATACACGACCATAGAATAGAAAAGAAAGATATTAACGAACAAGAGCAATTTTCTCAGCAGGAAAAATATTCAAGATAAAATGGTTTTATTGGAAAATTTACAACATTTTAAAGAGAAAAAACTTTCGAAATAAGAAATATCTCAAAATACTTTTTTTTTATGAATTTAATCAAGTTAGAAAGTGAAATTCTTCTCTTTCGGATGAAGCAAACTGTTTTCGAGCCATAAAATGGTATCTGTACTTTATATATATAAATATATATACTCATATTTTATAGGTAAAGATGGAAAGGAAGGGAAATGTGATAAATTTTAAGAGAACTTGGTAAATGTTTAATGTTTATGATTCCTCATAAAAATATAAATTACTAAATTTAATAAAATAAATAAATTGTAACATGTATTAAAATTATTTTCTTTCATAAATAGGATTTTTTTGATAATTATTAAATCAAAATTTTATTTTATTTTATTTTTCTCTTTTGTTTCATGTTTCTAATCTATTAATATATAAATTCAATAACAATTTTCCTTGCTCTGTTAGATATTAATATGCAAAATTAGTATACTTTTAATAATCGGATTACTCTTTCGCATTAGATAATATCGTGATATCCTTTGTAATCACAGTTATTCGTCCTCCAGGACATAGAATTACTCATTAAATTGTATAATTTAGACTATTTACCATTTTAAACAATAAATTATTCTCTAGAAAATTTAGTATGTTGACTATTTAATACTGTTTTTTTTTTTCTTTAATTTTTTAAAAATGTTATTATAGTAAAGAAATATTAATCTATTACATTTTAGCAATGTTTACTGGTACTTAAAAATATACTAAAATTTAAGAAATTTCAATTAAAATTTGTAGAGAATTAGGTTGTTTTAGCTTTATCAAGCGAGAGAATGGAGGAGGGAAAAATGTAAGAAAATATAAATAAATTATATTATTTTATTGTGCAATCTAACAAAGAAAGATTAAATATAAGGTCATTAGTGCGACTAAAAAATATTTAAGGATAATTTTGTAGATAGAATTCAGTTTTCCAAAAATGAAATTTTCATTAAGAATCTCGAGAATTCCCTTGGGTAATTAAAGTTCAAACAACAATTTGAATCTTTAAGTGAAATATTTATTTAGAAAATACGTGTTTGTAAGTCGGAAAAAAGAAGAAAAAGAAAAAAATAATAATAATAAACTAAACTAAAAGAGCGTTTAATTACATTTCTTTAAAAAATTCACCTTCTTAAGATGATAATTAGAAAAAAAAAACATATTAATGATTAATTCTTCAAACATTGAACTATTTTAAAGATGATCAAATTGTTAATGTAATAATAAACATAAATTTTATTTAATTAATTAAAATGTTTAATGATAAATAATTTATTTAAAATGATTAAAAATAAAAAAAATTTTTACATAAAATTATTTTCGTTTATTTTTCAGTAAATGTGATTAAATGATTAATTAATTTTTCAAGTATTTATTCCTTGTAAATTTAATTCTAAAATGTTGTTAAACAATTGTGAAGTGGATAATTCTCTTAATTTTCATATAATCTTACTTTGTTATATTTAAAAAAAAATTAAAATAATAATAATTAAGTTATCAAAGACAAGATAAAAATCTTGATAAGGGAATGATGTAGAAAGATAGATCTTACTACTTGATGATAGGGAGAATAATATAAAAAGTCAATCATTTTATTATTTAATATTTGAGAAATATAACAATTTTAACAATAAAAAAAATTGTTATTTTTGTCTTGTTTTATATATATTAAGAGAATAATAATCACGTTCTAAAGGTAGGATAATCATTATTAGAAAGAGAACCGTATCCATAAAATTTTTCTTGAAATTCCTAATGACTATATATAAAAAAAAAAATTTTAAAGAGAAAAATAAAAACTTGTCGAGAAAATAATCATTAAGTGGAAAAGGGAATTATTTATAAATGGATTGAGTTTTATAAATTTATTTTCGTGACTTTTTTTTTATAAATGAGTTTCTGTACAAATCCCATCGAAGAAACCATTTGTCATCCGTAAATAGGTTTGTAATGTCTACTTTACTTCCATAGTAATATAGGTGCTTGGTCACATTTCTACGAAACAAATGATGTTTTTTTAATTTCTTTTAATTCTTTAAATTTTTATGCGTTTAAGTTATTAGTTTTTTTTCCTGTACTTTTTTTGCATTAAAAATTCCAGACCTACTTAAAAGAAGAATAATATAGCTTGCTTGTTGTTTTCTTTACTTTCATATGCAAAATAAAAATTTAAAAAAAAACATTTTTAATATTAAAATAATGCTACTTTGTTATTAGGAATAATCAATTTTTTTAATTAACTGAATTTTTTTGTATGAAATTCTATTAAATCTGTAATAATAAATTGTTGGTTTTTCTATTTGACAGACATAAGAAAAAAGTGCAAAATTTTCTACCTTGTAAAGAAGAACCTCAAGGACGATGTGAGCTCCCTAACCCAAATGGGATAACCTATGATGATGTCATCATCAATCATCATCCTACTCGTCTACCCCCAACCACGACAGATCAACCTGCACAGTCCGTTACTCCGTTTGAGGTAAATATGCACAGTCCGTTACTCCGTGTATTGTATATATATAATCTAAATATAAACATAAGAGTATTTTTTACCATTAATGAAATTTCAACCTCCATGAGGAACAGATATACGTCGTATGTTACATAGAGTAGTAGAGCAAATTTAAACTTAGCTTTTCCCTGATATATAATTTTAAGAAAATAGTCGAAGTATTGTAAATTATAAAAGTCGAAGGTATAAAGAAAATCGAAGAGTATGATGGAAAGATGTTAAGAAAAGGTAGTGCAATAAAAAGAATGTAAAGCTGCACATTCTATCTTTACTCGGCATTTATTCGTCCAGTTGCAGGAACACGTAGAGGATGATTCGAATTGGAGAAAATGATAGGCTAAAATAAACAACAAAAGAAATTTTGTGTAGGGTTCTTAAACTCTCAGAGATTTTATAGTGGAATCCAGATTGAAAGTGGTCTACTTTACGACTTTCGGTCCAATTATGGGATCGAATCCGACTGCATAGACTAGGATTCGTGAAATATTTCTTTGACGACTACGTAGGGTGTCACGTTGTGTATTACAGTGATATAATGAATCATTGATAGCAAACACGTCAAACATTCATGGCTGCATCTACTTTCCAAAAAGATCTCCTATCTTAGGACAGTTCATGACCTTTCTGCAGATTAATACGTGACTTAAAGCAGCCACGTTCATTGTCAGCCAGCGTATATCTTCTGAAAGCGAAGTATAAGCTAGTTCACTTTTCTTGAATGAATATCGTGAGAAACTCGAAAACATTATGCTTTATATATAAACATGCATATATATATACTCTTTTCAACGTATAAATATTTTAGAATTTTTTGCATCAAGTTATAATAATTTTATTAGAAAAAAATATTTAAATTACATCATAAAAAATTTTGAAATAAATAAAATAAATTTTTCTTTGCTTTTGATAAAGTTTTATCAACATTGATAGAAGGAATGAGAGTGAAGGACATTAAAGCTCGAAGTGAATTCACTCAAGGGACAACTTGGAATCAAATATATCTTCGAAATAAACGCGTAATCAAAGTCGATCCATTTATCTAGACGAGAATGGAAATTACTTGGTAGATGCTTCTAAGAAATGAGCGAGCAAAGAACGTTGGAGATGTTCTTTAGCGGTCATTGCTTCGAGATTCGTTTCGTTCGGAAATGACGTCATTTGGTAGGACACGCGATGCGTTTTTCACCCAAAAATATATAGAGTCTCTAACAAGCGATCTCGGTAATGACACATCGGTCTCTCCAAAATAGCTTCCATTAGGTTTATGTAGAAAGGTACGCGCCACCAATGTCTTAATTAACTCCACCAACTATTGATGGCTTAGAAAGATTATTGGATTCTGAGTTTGCTCGAATAAAAACCGTGTATATCATCTAGCTAATGCTTCAACCGAAAACAGTTAATACTTGGCACCAGAATGGTGTAAAAAATTTTTCTAGACATAATTTAAGCGGATGTAAGATACATTTTTCTTGAATTTTACAGTATAATTATCATGGCCATCATTATCTTTTATGTCTTAGTATAAACTCGAACGAATATAAACTTCAGAAAACTTTTTCTTTATTAATGTTCTGTTGCCATTTTTGGAATGGAAATTCCATTTATTTTAAATAAATAGAATCTATCTTCTATTTGATTATTTTTACATTATCTCCATTTGCTAATTCATAAAAGTATTACTTAAATCAGCGCTAAGCTTTATTATTTCGTTGGAAAACTTTAATTCTCTGGGATAAACAATGTTTATGTTTAAAGGATTTGCTCTTTAATCAGGTAGACATTATTACTAAGAGAGAGAGATGATTTTAAATTATTTTAAATCAGAAAAATTGAATTTATTTAAAAGTGAAGAACAATGAGATAAACTAGGAGTGGGGGAGATGTGTTGCTGTTACTTTGTTTCTCCTCCTCCTCCTCTTTCATCTTCAGACTCTTCTAGATGCTTTTGATGACGCAATTAAGTAAAGGGGGACGAGTATACGCTGCTGTTTCCGCGCGACTAATTTCCTTTCGTCTTCTTTTCACAGTTGGATGATTCCGGAATTAGCCACAATTAGCGCTGCTACTTTTCTCTTCGGACCTACAGTTTTCCTTTTTTATTCTTTTTCCTACTCAGCTTCTTACACCCTCCAGAGATTTTTTTCCTCCTCTTCCTCTTCTCTTTTCTGTAGACTTAAAGGGAAAAATATTCTCTTTAATTAGAAAGAATCCTCTCTGACAAATTATTATTCTGATTATCCTTACTTCCACGAAAAGACGATTCCATATTAGATTCATATAATCGATTTATTCATTTTTATTTATGAAAAGAGTAAACCAATTAAGATAATACTTAAGAAAACTTAATGATTTAATAATGTAGAAAATAAAACAACTAAATTAAATAAAACTTTCCTATTTAATTTTCATGTATTAAGAAGTTTTATTTTAATATATTTATCGTGAAAGTTTATGTATAAACAAGCATGTTTAAGAAGCATTATTAACTCTATTAACGAGATTAATCTAGTTAAGATAATGTTCTTTTCATGAATTGTTTAGCTTATTATTATTAATTCGTAAATATATAATAACTAAATTGATAAGTGTCAAAACTGTATTATTTTTATACATCTAAACAGGTTCGATAATTGTATATTAATTGGGATAATTCATTTCTATTAATTTCTATAATTTAAGCAAATCGTAATGGACGATGCGTTAACGAAATTCCTTAGAGAAATTAAGGAAATTATGTAATTCCTATATTTAACACATGTGATTTTCATAATATTCTAGATTTGTTGAAACATTATTATGCTGAATTTATAATTTGACATCTGATATCTTCTCATAATAATGATGAAGATACACTTTAAATTCCCCATCGTTTCTATACGAAAATTCTTAAAAGAGAAATAATTTTATTAAAATTTAATTATGAAATTTGAGAAATTAAATACTAATAGGTTAAGGAATAATAAAATAGTCAAATTTTATAATAGTCATTATTAATTCTGATTGTTCTAATAATTTATTTAAGAGCTTCTGAATTTGAAACTGAATTTACACAATGAATATATTAGTTAAAATAATGAATTTTAATTAACGTAGAGCAAATTGAAGGAATTCTCAATATAAGCAAGATTTAGATCAAAATTATCTTTTCTGTTTTAGAGATACGTCTTATGATAAGATCTATAGAAAAAGAAAAAAGAACAAAGGGAAAAATTATCAGCAAGAAAAACGTATCGTATAATAAATAATATCACAAAATCCATCTATATTAATTTTATTAGAGTTTTAAACATAACAATTATATCTTGATGGCAATTTTATATATAAATAAAAAGAAAATCATCTTTAGATCATATCAGACCAAGTTATTGTTGTAACGTAAAAACAACACAGACCCTTTCCTCCATGTTACTGTTCAATGTGTGATATGACAGATAATCTCATTCGTTTCCTTATAAATAATTCGTGAGTTTGAAATCGGATTAGGCTTTTCTGGTGCCATCATTGAGTTTATTCGAACATAATCAAATTATTGCTTTTTTCCCCCTTTTAAAGATCTTCCTTCGAGGCCTTTTGAGAAATTACCAATAATATAGGCTAAATTTCAGATAAGTTTATAAATGATTCAAAAGAATACATATATATATCGAAATGTCTTGTCAATTTGGAGAATTTCTTAGAAGAATAGTTCATTTACTAAATAATAAGACAAATCATTATTACTTTCTCGTTTTAATATTAATAGAATAGGGGCTTAAGAGACACTTCAAGACAGCTCATCTAAATAATAAAATCATCTCTTGTGACTAATAATTATTAAGATAAAGATACATTTTATCTATATTAGTTTAGTTGGAATAAATTGTTATACTTTGCTTGTGTTTAGGAGGAAAGAAATCTCGAGTTGTTTGCTATCTTCTAGATACTTGAGATTGTCGACACACTGATCAGAAAACGTGGCACCGTTCCAAATAGCACAGGTGGGAATATAAAATCAGTCAAACGAATAGGTGGCAATGTAAGAATAGATAGAATATTCATATTTTTATTATTTAATAAAATATATCTCGATATTTTTTTAATGATTAATTTCGTTTTTTTTTTAACTTCGAATATTGATAAATGTTATAATAATAATTTCGAAAGATGAGAAAAAAAATAAATTAAAATTTAAATTTCCATTAAATTTCCGAGTTAATAATCCTCACCCAGCAAAGGCATTCAAAAGATGGATTTCCTTCATATCGCCTTTATTCTTTCTGGCAAAGAAGAGTCCCCCTCTTTTTTTTTTCAATTGCTATCTCTCTACTTCACCATCTTATTTATTTCCTTCATTATTTTTCCAGTTTTGCTTTCTTTTTTATTTTAATTAAGTTCGTTTCTCAGAATTCATTAATTCGCTATCTTTTCCTCGACTATCTTTCCTCATTAGAAATAAGGTAATTGAGTTTCCATTGGTGCGCTCTTTCAAAACTTTAGATTAATTCAGTTTTTCTTTTTTTTTCTTCTTCTTCTTCTTCTTCTTCTCTTCCTTTACTTTGCTAATAATAATTCTCGACCACATTTCCTCAACCTGGCCTTTCAATGTTGACGCCAGAATTTTTTATATATATATATATAATTTTTTTTTTTTTAATTTTCTGTCTAACCCGACTCCTCTCATCTCTTTTCTCATCTTTGCTGTGATTATATTTTCGTAATGAATTCCCATTAGAAATTGCATAATTCATTACTCTCTTTCTCTTCGATTTGACTGTAGTAAAGAAAATTCCTACTTTTCAATGGATGAGATTCGCTTCTTGTTAATTTAATTGCTTTTTAAGAAGGAAGCCAAAAATGTCAGGTTTTAATTCTTAAAAAAATATATATATCAAAAATTTAAAATTAGATTTTTTTTTCTTTCTTTCTTTCATATAAATTATTTCCGAATTGCAATTTTAATAATATGGATAATTTTTTAACATTAAAGTTCCAAAAAATAAAATATTTTGCTAATATTTTTTCCTATTTACTATCGTTATAGGTGATTTTTTTCTCTTATTCTTACTCTTTTTCCATTAAAAACAAATCAAATTTATAAAAGTTTATAATTATTACAGTTAGGACATCTAGGCACTAAAAATCATATAAATAGTGTGACTTATGGCTGTTATTGCCTAAGATATAATAGCTCTAATAATTAGAAATGTATAAGAAAACGATATATAAACATTCTTTGAGATAATTTAATTGGAATAAGAATTAAATAACGTGGAAAAAGTAATAGTTAGCTAGTCTGAAACAAACAAAAAAGCCACAAAATAGCCGATTTCCGCTTCAATGTCGAAGATAGAACTGAGATGATTTACAAAGGTGAGCAAATCAAACTAACCACTCTCATTACGACTGCTCATAAATCGTCAGAATGCCACTTCCGCTAACTATGGTTGCTTCCGCTATTCGCTTCCGCTATTGCCCAATTTCCGGTGTTGATAAGAAGGTTCGAAGCACGACAAACACTTTGGTTGGTGCCTCGAACTTCCTGTTAGACGACGGGTGCCGGGAGGATGGAATTTCCTTATCCAGACAAGGTGTTATCCTCCCCTTTCTACGTTCTCTTTACCGATGAACACATCACCTAAACGCTCTCATTATTGCTTCATTATGAGTATTGGAATGTCGTGCTAATGGATGCGATCAAAATCGTTTAAGAACTCTCTACATTCCATCCCATGGGTCTTCTAATTGAAAAATAAATAATGATCATAAGTATTATTTGATTAAAGACCTTTATTCCTTTCCCCCTTTCCTCAAGTCATTTAATATTGTTAAAAATTTTAATTTTTACTATTAACTTTTGTTAAGAATATTTTATGACTTTTTTAATTTCGTTATGTTCTTTTACAAAGTGGCCATTTAACCATAAATTGCTTAATTTAATGATAGCTGAACGTGATCAGATGATAAAAGAAGTATGTAGGTCTGTTGTGAATTAAATTCTATTAAAATAGGATCAAGGCCGACTTGGTCGTTGGCACATTCCCAAAGGTCAATAGAAAAGTGACCAACATGATAATGGATACATTGCAAAGTGTGTTACTTTTTTTTCTTTTAAAAAATAAAATATTAAAATTACAAGAAAATTCATGCATCAACAGTTTAATTTTATCTTAATTAACTCCTGATTAATGTCTCGTAATATAAAATTTATTTATTTATTTTTTTAAACGAAAGAAACTGAATATAAATAAACAAATAAAGTCGAAAGCTAAAAAGAAATTAGGCATTAATATTTTAATTTAATTTACACGAAAATGTTTCGGGTGCAATATATCATTATCCGTTTTATAAAGTGGTGGTGATGTTGTAAAATTGCTGTCTATTCATTTGGGACTTAGTCGGTAATTCAGGATGAAAAGGACCCAAGAGGATATTCTTTAGATGTAAAGGGTTGTGATGTAATGAGTTGAACTGTAGAAATCGGATCACGTCACGTCTTCTGTGACTTATACTTGGTTCGTGTCTCACAGTTCCTTAGGGAATTCGTTAGAAATACCAATAGGCTTAGAGGACAAAGCAATATCAGGTCCTGTGAGAAAGTAATGCAACTACAGTACACAGATTGCTTTCGAGTTCAGAAGGAGCTTTTCTTTATGGAACTCTCTCAAGTATTTCTATGTTTAAACCAATCCAAGACAAGTTATATTGCTTGGATAAATAATAAGAAGAAAAAGTCTTTCCAGATACTTTTAAAATTTTTCTTATCCAACTTTTGTCCAAGTTTCCAAGTTAATTTGCATGAATTGACTCAGAAGGATATGTGCAATCTCAAATAATTTTATTGTTATTGTTTTCGTAATATACTACATTTGAGAGTGTTTTATACTTTAATTACAACAAAAAAATCTTCTTTTTATAACAAACTATAAAACAAATACGTTTAAAAAGTAAGGAAGGACCAATTAACATCAACGTAATAATAAAAATGTTTTTGTGTGTATTATATCATTATTTTGGTAATGTATACTTACTGAGATAATTTTTATCTCTTCGGTCCTCTCTGTATTATCATTCAAAGAGAAGAGAGAGAGATTTTTATTATAACGTACTCATTAAACATGAGATATCTACTCTTTAGGGAACCGTACGATTAAATCAGTCGCAATTAAACTCGCATCGTAATTGAAAATAATAAAAATAATGTAGATAATTTTTATTTTAATGTTTAGTCACTTATTTCTCTAATTCTGTTTCTCTTCAATTTTATTAATGATATGACTAATTCAAATGCAGAAAAATGAGAGTTATTTGTTGTACGTTTAATATATATATTTTCAAAATATTTAAAGTTTTATGGAAAAATTATGGTATCGTGTTTTTATTTTTCCACCATTCAGTTGCTGGCTGTCATGAAAAATAATAGCGGTGCCACTCAACTTGTCCCATTAAAGCAAGAAGACCTGATGGGTTTAACTACCAGAGATAGAACGGGAAGTAAAGAAACGTTAGAACCCATTTACGAAGAAGTTGGAGCCGGGAATGAAAACAAATCCAAACGGTCAACTATAAACGACCTATCCAACGATACAGATTCGGGAAGAGGTACTTACAGAGCCAGAAGATTGAGCAACAACTCCCAACCAGTTGACGTAACCCCTTCTGCCAATATACAAGAAGATCCCTCACTAGATCGTAGCAGTAATGCTTTAATGGCGTTATTTTTACGTAGAGAACCCCGAGCTAGAAAGTACATGGAAGTGTATCCAAGAGGGCGTTATTTAGCAAGGGATTTTCGTCATCCGGATTTCATCTTTCCAGAAGGCTTTCGAACAATTGATGGAAGACAGAATTCGCTTCCGAACGAACGATCAACCGAAAGACATAGGTCGAGCATCACTTCGTTACCAGATCACTCCTATTTCCTGGCCCAGTCGTCCCCATCTACACAAAATAACAGACTACTTATGGGATCCTCTAGAAGAACTCCTCAAGAAGCTAGAGACAATATACATCTCACTATCCGAAGCCAACAGAGCGAAGATTCTTCACGGTCGCCTACTTTCAGAAGAGGCTCTTCGACTATGCCGTCAAAGAAAGAGGAATCGAAGAGACTACTGAGAACTCCGGAAGAATCTAGAATCCAACAACTCTTATCCGCTTATCATCCATATCCCGCTAATGAAGACGACAGACATTTGTCTACAGAAAATATTTATTACAGCATAGACGAAGATTCTGCCGAGATCCGTCCGGCTTATGCTACTATAGCAAGTCGAAAATACAGTGATCCCATAGCTGGACTGACTAGAGGCTCTTCAATTTTAGGTTCGAGAATATTAGATAGAGCACAAGTTTTGCAAGATATAGGAGAGAAACGGTAGCGCTTCTGAACATGTGAGTACTTTTATATCTTAACATATACTATAAAAGCTTAAAGATATGTTTTTCTATAATTAAAGAAATATAATCTGATTTTTAAATTCATTTCTCGTTTCTTTAATAATAATGGCATTTAATATTTGTAGCTTTCATTACCGATAATCAGATTTAACAACTTGATTCCAAAGTCGAGCTGCAGCTGCAAGAAATCTGGCCAACTGATCAACAAAAGACAGAAATCGTCCGTATAAAAAAAATATTAAACTGTGATCATTGTTTGGTTAAGAAGGGCGGTTTCTACGTTTAACCAATTTTTTTCTTTTTATTTTCAATATCACATCGCGCTCGAATTGATAAAACAATAATCCTATCGCGTATATGAATATTTCTAGTAAAGACTCGAAATTATAGAAAGCTAAAATTTGTTGAATGATTTATGATGTTGAATAGGAGACGAGAAAACGAAGAACTTATTCGTTAAAGTTCTGACTTTTCCCATTCTCCAAAATATTGTAAATATTTAAAAAAAAAACACGGAATAATTCCCGATAGATATAGAATCGAAAAACATTTTTAAATCAATCGCGAATATTTCCTTAATCCCAACTTTATCCAGTGCTAAAGTGTAGATATTGTATAGACGTAGAGCGATGGCAAATTTTAAATAGCCTTTAACAAAAGACAAAATATATATATATATAAATATATATATATATATGCTCCCTTAAGAAGCGCCTGACAATCTTTCAAGGCACCCTAAAAATACAGAATGAACTGTAAGTAAATATAATAATAAAAAAAAAAATAGAGATAGTAGAAATGAAAGATAAAATTGAATCTTTCCTACAGAGAGTCTTTAGCAATGTATACAAGATACAAAGAATCAGAAATTTTAGATTGGTCAGAGGTATTACAAACATAAATATAACTTCTAAAAAGAATAAGTGTAAACACAAGTTAATGTACATTAATTTAGTTTTTGTCTTTATAACATGTTACCAATTTTGAAATTTAATACAGTATTTTAAATAAATAATTGAAGACACGGGAATGCTTTGATTTTATCTCTTCTATCATCTCGTAAATTTATTTATTCACTTACAGTTCATCGTGTATAAGCTGTATGGGCTATTTCGCTCGCTTAATGCCCAATTATTCCCTAGCAATGTATTTTAACCATGGCCTCCCAGTGATGTCATTTTTCCCAAATTTTTCGAAGTTTTTGAGTTTTATTACAAAAACAAAGATGCCATCATTTAACGTGTCTATGCAAATTTGCCATATAAGATAGTGTTGTTTAAAAAAAAATAATGTAGTTAATATATAAATTTGGAAACAGAAAGCAGTGTGTACAGTGTATATAAATACGAATGATGCAATTACCCTTCTGTATTGAATCTTAAGATAAATTGTGTTTTTATAGTTGTGAATTATTATTGTCTAACATTTCAGGATAGTATTTCCCAAAATTTGATATGCAAGAAAAGTGAATAAAACCGAGAAAATCCCGAATGATATCTAGTTTCTAGTGCATTGTTTCTCCCTAGGTTTAGCATATATGAGTGATAAAAACTATGTTTAAACATTTTCCTTTGATGTTAAGTAAAATTATTAAGTGTTGCGTATTGTTAAATGTATTATATTTAAGATTAATTATGTAAAAAAATTGTGGTTTAAAAAAAAAGTGTCTTGTACATGCAGTATATGGTATAAGAAGAGTATAATATGTAAATTATTCTACTCTCCCATAAACTATTCCGAGATGAGCTTGAAAAATCGATCAATCATTGTAACTGCTGATCAAACCAAAAAAAAATAAATTGTCAATATGCATTTACAATGATTGCGCTAAGTGATTATTTCACATTTATCGTCATAAAAGCTTACGTAGAAATTAATTATAATTAGTTTTTAAGACTATTTCAATGATTATTTATTAATAAAATATCAGAAAATTGAGAAATTTATATTGTGATAAACAAAATTATTTCAAATAAATGATA